GAATTTACTATTTACAATAGCAGAAAAACCCTTTGGAACTTTCTAGTAGGGGAAGGCTCTCAGGAAACACAGGGTTTACTGTTAGAATTACTAGATTGCACTCAGTATTTCCAGACAAATTACTTTCTTTCATTGAAAAGCTGCATGCATTTTTTGAGGAGAGGGAGAAAAAAAGTAAAAGTATTTATTTGTATCAAGAAAATACTCTGGCAGAACATTTTAAAGACAGCAGTGCATGGTAAATAGCATCTGCTTTTTTTTTTAATAGCAGTCTCATGACCTGTTTCAACTTAGTGGCAGACAAAACAGGGTAAGAAGGAAAAATACAGAAGAAAAATTCAGTGGCAAGTAGTTTGAAAAGTGTTTAATTTCTTCTAAGACACTATCAATAACTTGTGAAGAATACAAAAAACTCCTGACCTGAATGAAAAATTATCTACAATAATATCTGACCAATGTACGGCATCAGTTGCAAACTATGCTGTAACACAAGCAGTAGTTAATCCATCAAGAAAATAAAGGACAAGAGCAACAAAAAGGGATTCAGAGCAGTTTGGTTGCATTTTCACATCAGGAAAAATATGTTTCCTCAGGCTGATGAATGGGTCATGCACTGGCCCCTGAGGGTGTTAGCAGCAAGGCCGGCAAATGTCATCTGAAGGGCATGAGCTGACTGAACATCATCTCCTGGCCCAGGGAGGCTTTACATGCAGCTATAACAACCAGGATTTTGGAATAGCACCTCCTCTGTCACGGGTTTGTTAGCCTACTTTCTCCCTACCTTTATTTATTGTTCTTAGAAGTCTAAGTAAATGCAGTATTTGTAGCAAATACTTTGACTGCACTATTGTATGTGCTTCAACAAGCTACATTCTTGTCCTCCCAACACCAGAGGTATCTCTACCCAGTGGAGGATCTTTTTCCATCCCTGGGAAGTCCCTTGTGAACTCACACCAGTTGATTTTTGGCCCATTCCCATTTCATTGGAATGGTTATTTACTCCATGTAGTTGCTCTGTGTTTTATTAATTCTGTTGTTTTGCTGTTCTTACTTGTGCAGTCTCTGCATGTTCCAGCATCTCCTCAAATTCCTGGTACTCTTCATCATCAGGTTCAGCACCAGAGAGTCGGGCCGCCCTTGCCATAAAATATGGAGGCAGCTCTCCAATGGCTGTGCCAGCACCCTGGGAAAAGAATAATTCTGATTTATTTTCATGTTTATTCTTAAATAGGAAACATGTGATAAGCACAGTCCCCTGGACATTTCAAGTGATTAGAACCGACGAGACCAGCTGCTTCGAGAAGCTTGCTTTTATCCCCCAGGTCAAATTTCTCCCGAATTCACACATGATGCTGGCTCCTTTGAACCCCCCCTTTCCTTCTTTAGCAAAATTCAGCTTCTCTCAGCTGCAAGCCAGTGGCTCCCCAGTTGG